TGGATCAAACCCAGGCCAACAGGCTTGGCAGCAGGTGCCTTTGCCCTCTGAGACACCTGCCTGGCATGAGAGACTGGAGCTTGGCTTAGCTTCCCAAGAGCCAAGGGGTACCCCGAAAGAACTCTCCCGACATTATGTCTTCTTGCCAATCACACTGCAGCCCTAAGAAACACACAAAACTCAGTGTACTGTTCCCTACTGTCCAGACATCTGTGTCTGTTGGCTCTGCCTAGTCCAATTCTGGTACCACCAGACAGACCCTCCATGTCATTATCCTTATTCTATTTTGCTTTTCCTGCAGAGTCCCCATCCCCCCCAAAAGAAATACACTCGCCCCCTCAGAACTGGATGAGACACCTCTGACTTTAATCCTTCCTACATCCATGAAGCGTTCAAGACACCCCACCCCAAATCTGTCTCCTAAGAGAACCCACCCCTCCACGCTACTCCCAAGGTGGCCATGCCACTCAGGACCAACACACCACCCTTCACCTGCTCCACTGTGACGCCTCCTAACAGGCTTCCTTCTGTCCAGGTTCCACCCTTAGCCTCTGTCCTCCTTGACATCTTCCAAAGTCCAAGCATCCTGGGTGAATATCTTAACTTTCAAAGCCTCCTCCTATCTCATCCTCTGGTCCCTCTCCATCTAGCACTTCCCCTACAGGAAACCTCATAATGAATCCACTGTAAGTCCAGAAGAGCTCATTATCTGTTCATCTGTCTCAGATGTCCTCCCGCACTCCTGTTCGATAAACTCTTACTCATCCTACACACCCCAGAGAAAGGTCACCTCCTCCATGACACCACGTCCCATTTCCCCACCCAGAGCTGCCAGAGAGCTCTGCCCTTTGCTGTGTAAACTTGACCCTCTAATGAAGAGCTTCCCCATGTTGTGTTTACTGACTCTTGAGTGGCTGACAGCAACATGCAGGAGCACCCCATTTTTTTGTGCTTGGCATCTACACATCAATGCTACCCATTGCTAAATGGGATGCTCTACCCATTTACTAAATCCTTACTATATAACAGGGCCTGGGCTAGATGTTTTACCAAAATGATCCTCAAAGTTTCCTTTCTGAGAGATGAGACAGATTCAGAGGGGATGAGCAGCCAGCCCAAACCACGAAGCTTATGAACATTGCTGTTAGTGACCAACTCTCTGTCACACATGTTCTCCCTTGAGATGTGGCCTCATGCCAACGTTGAGCTTCCTCTACCCCACATGTGGTTTCCAAAGAAACATCAATCCCGCACGTAATTAGAGCTGAGCGTGGAAAAGCCTTTTGCTTCTGTGCAGCCATCAAGTTGGGATTTCTTTCTTTTCTGTTTTTGTGCTGGGGATCAAACCCAGGGTCTTTCACATGCTGGGTGAGCTTTCCACCACTGACTCATGCCCCTAACCTAGTTGGGAGCATGACTTTTCTTGTTGCTTTGGTTTTTGAGACAGGCTTTCATGTTGCTGTAGCTAGCCTCAAACTCAAGACAGATAAGCTGTAGATGACATTAAACTCCTGGCCCTCTTGCCTTTACCTCCCCAGTGCTGGGATTACAGGAATGTACCACCACGCCCTGTTCTGGTTTTGGATTTCTTTAAAAGGAACTTTTAATAAGAAACCAAAGAAAAGCCAAATATACACACACCACACACATTTTTAGCAAAACAGATAAGCAGGTCTGGGTCCTCCCTCTGAGCTGTTACTTCCTCATCTAAAACTAGTAGTTGAGACAAGATGGTCTCAGAGATGCTTATCAGTCTCCACATCCTGTGATTCCATGATTGGTTTCTCAGCTGGACAGTGGGCTGGTGAATTCTGGGGACATGAACTTCAGGAGCACTGCAAGTGGACACTGTAAACTGGCCAGCACCACCTCTTCCCTGCCTAGGGGCCTCCCCAAGCCCTGCTCGGGACCATTAGAGGGCTTAGCCAGTTTAAGCATCAGTGGGCTGCAGACACCCAGGCCTAAACCCTGGGGTCTGGACCCCCACGTTTTTGCTCTCAGAAAGGTTCTGTTAAGTTCTCTTCACTTCTGGTTAGGTATGTTCCCTTCTCTGAGCCATTCTCCCCTCCCCCCCGCTCCCAGCCTCTCAGGCCTTGCCTGGACCCCCTTCTCCTCCCCGGTCCTACCAGTGGGACTTTCTGGAAAGCCCCGCTCTGAGCAGCTGACACAGGATGGGGACAAGAGAGGCTTGTGGGTGGGTTCCTGCAGAGGCTCAGGGCTCTCAGCTGTAGCCCTTGGAGCCTCAGTCATTTCCCTTCCCCCACCCACCCAGCTGGGAGACAGAGAGGTTTCATCACAGCTAAATTGTTGTCCTTATAAGGGAAGGCCCTCAAAGCCTCAGCCGCGGCAGCACACTCTGCCTGTGGCCTGCTGGTGAAGAGCCAGGCAGAAGGCCTTAGGGCGTCCTCCAGACGTGGAAAATGGGGATGGCCCAAGCCCAAGTCTCTGGTCTGAATATCCACCTGAAGCACAGGCCCTCTAGAGAGCTGAGTGGGAAGCCCTCTGTTGTGGGCCCAGGCTAGGCCCTGCCAGAGGGTCAAATCCCCTAGCCCTACAACTGACTTTGTCGGTCTGTTACGAAAATGGACATTAATCCTTAATGTCATAGGCTTTGAATTGGGGGTGAACATTATGTCTTTCTCATTTCTGTGATAAGAGCAATTCAGTAGGCTCAGCAAATGTAGGCGCTCAGTCAGGCTAGAGTGCTTGGGTGACTCAGCACCCCACCGAATCAGTCCCCATCACAACAGCAGAAGCAGAGGCATAGTTCATCCTGATCCCTGTCTCTACCTCCTCAGCGCTAGGATATAGGGCATGCCGCCTGGCTGGGTTTTATTTGGTGCATGGAGGAAACTGAGGGCTTCATTTATGCCAGGCAGGCTACATCCTCTGCCCCATTCCTGGGGGTTGAATTCAGGTATATCTACTTCCAAAGTTCATTTTTTCCCCCTCTTTGAACCCTGTTTCCTCCAGAATAATCTTGGAAGTGGTGGGTTGTTTTGTCTTTTGATTTTTTTGAGCCAGGACTTCTTTGTGTGGTCCTGGCTGTCCTAGAACTAGCTCTGTAGACCAGGCTGGCCTGGAACTTAGAGATCTGCCTGCCTCTGCCTCCCAAATGTTGGGATTAAAGGTATGTGCCACCACCGCCCTTGGCTAGAGTAAATTTTTTGTTTTTGTTTTTATTTTTTGTTTTTCTTTTGACAGCCCAATTGGTGTGGCCTGAGAGGGGTAGAGGCTAATGAGACATGGAGGCAAAAACCACAGTGGTCCCCAACACAAGGGGCTTCCAGGCCCATGCATGAGCAGCAGCGGAGAGGGGGCAAGAGGAGCAGCCTGCTCACCAGGACCAACTCTTGTTGCTGGGTTCTGTGCGAAAGCAACCAAGTCATGCTTTGCAGAACTACTTCAGATGCCTGAGGTGACAGCAGCGCGTGTTCAGAAGGAAGGCTCACCTTTTCTTCACAGGCCTCTCGTCCCCAAGACCAGAGGGAAAGAAAGCTCTTACCACATCCTTCCTTAGCCAGTTGACGGCCACCAACACATCCCAGTAAGCCAGTTCCCGAGTCAGGGTTGAACAAAGGCTCCCGATAGCGAGGAGGGGCCTCCCAGCTTCTGCAGACCCCTGACTCCACATGGCTGTCACACGCCAGGCTGGTGGCTGGGGAATTCACAGGGGTCATGGCCACAGTTCACACATCCTAGGTCAGGTGCTTCCTGTTATGTTCGCCACAGGGCCTATCCAAAAGACTCACAGAGGAAGACAGGAGCCAATCTTTGGCAAGCACGGTGGTGCTTTCCCACACAAGGGGAAGATCACCGCAATCTCCCTTTTGTGGGTGAGGAAAATGAGAGTCCCTCCTTAAGGCTTGAGATTCACAGACAAGTTCCTGGGTGGCACTTACACCTGACAGCCTGACCCGAGCTGGCCCAGGGCTCTCCTGAGTACTCTTGTCACTGGGGCTATGATGGCAGGGGGCCAGGTTCACCCTTAACCAGGCCCAACCTCTAAGGGTTAAACAGCTGGAACCACCATTTTGGAATCACTGAGGCAAACACCTGTTCAGCAATCATCATCAGTAGGCACTGGGGGACCCTGCAATGAGGTACAACGTATGTCCTTGGTGTTCGATATCTTCTGGAATACTTGTTAGTTGCAAAAGGAAAACAAAGAAAGAAGGAAAGAGAGAGAGAGAGAAAGAGAGAAGGAAGGAAGGAAGGAAAGAAAGAAGGAAGGATAACTCAGTAAAATAAAAAATCAAGAGTTGTTGCTCAGGTGATGAAAATAAACAGTGATGGTGGGGATGGAGCCCCACGGTGATACAAATACTTACGGCACATGCAAGGTCAAGGGCTCCATCCCCCGCAAGAACATCATCACTGAGGCACAAGATGTCACGGATCTCCAGATGGGATGGCCTGAGAGACTGTGACCTCCCCTGTAATCTTCCAGCTGGGAATTTCTAACCTCCACCTAGTCATGACAAAACCCCAGACTCAAAATAGGTCTGTTGCTAATGCGGGAGGGCTGTCCTCTAAGCCACACAGTAAAACTTGGCCTCAAAAAACGGTGGGGAGGAAAAAATTAAGTATTGGGTGTAATGGTGCATGCCTTTAATCCCAAAACTCGGGAGACAGAAATACGAAGCTCTGTGAGTTTGAGGCCACCCTAGTCTATAGAGTTCTAGGACAGCCAGGACTACAGTCTGCTGTTGTTATCACTGTATATTCAAACTCACTCTGTAGACCAGGATGGCCTGAAACTCAGAGATCCTCCTGCCTCAGCCTCCTGAGTGCTGGGATCAAAGGCGTGCACCACCGCCTGGCTTAGATTGCTTTTTTTTTTTTTTTTTAAAGTATGTATTTCAATGTTTAAGTGACCATGATGACTACTTTTCCAGAAGTGAGTTTAGAAGTCTGCTGAGCCACTGCCACAAGCCCTTCACTCCCAGGAGGCCAGCCTTAGGCAGGCCCCACAGCAACGTACAGGCTTCATGCAGAGTTTTCCATAAAATGAGATTTATTGCCAAATTTCAAGAAAGATGGACCATAAGCAGAAGACGCTGCATGCCCCCTTCCATGGTGGCAGGGAGGCAGTCCTGTGCAGCCCCTACCCCAACCCAGCCCACCATGGCAACCAATAGCATTTGGCCACTAAGGTAGTAGTCCCAAGGACTATTCCCACAACTAGTCACTTGACAGCACAGACTGGGGCTCTAATTCCTGGAAACAGGTGACCTGGCAGAAGTCCAGCACCCTTTCTGCTGTAGGGACGACTGTTCCCAAGATGGCAGGGGATCAGGACTGGACACCTGAGGACATTCTTGTCTTGTACAGGAGACGGAGGTAAAGGCAGGCTGGCATGGGAGCCCCAGGAGTATGATTTGAGGCTGACGGGAGTGGGGGCATGAGCCACGCCATGGTGGCTTACTCTGCCCTCGCCCACTACCCACAGAAAGAAAGTGACAGTACAGTAAGGAAGGCATTGACCGGCACTGGCTGGCAGGCCTTGGTGGGCACTGGGGTGAGTGGAAAGGCCATCGTGTTGCTGTGACCCTCCTCTTCCAGCAGATGAAAGTGCACATGCAGAATCCTCAGGGCAGATCCTCTGTGAGGGCTCGCTCCCCCAGTGCCCAACCCAGGCTTCAGCCTCAGTCCTGCTGGCTGCTGCAGCTGGGTTAGAGACTCTAGGATCGCTCCCAGAGGCAGGGGCAATGGGGAAGCGAGGAGGGGAGAGGGAGGAGGAAATACATTTGGAAGTTAAGGAGGGGCAGCCCTCCAGGGGCCTGATAGGTGGGGAGTTGTCACAGACTCCAGCATGTGAAGAAAAGTGGGTGGATATCAGAGTTGCTCCAGCTGAGGAAGAACCACAGAGACCCAGATAAATACCATCTGGGAGGCACAGAAGGCAGGGGTGGGGGCAGGGGCTCTAAAGGTTGATTAATGATAATCACATTCAGGTTTTTCCGATATTAGCACAGGCCACTCTAGAGTTTTCATCTTCAGGAATGTGCAAGGCTGGACAGAAGCTGGTCCAGGAGCTGAGACTGTACCAGGAAGCCTGAGTTCCTACCTCCCCTGGAAGCCACAGCTCTCCAAAGGGGAAGGTCGCTTCGGAGAAGACCCTCAGTTTGCAGAAAGGGAAACAAGCCAGAGTAAATGGCTCCTTCACCCAGATGCTTACCCATCTGACTCCAGCTAAAGGCCAGACTTCACTAGGATGACAGATGACTCTACAGCCTGGACCCAAGACCCCTTCAGCTACTCATAATAAGTGGGTGTGGCTGGTTGGGAGCTGCCTGGAGACCAGGAGATGAGAGCCCCAGGCAGCAGAGCTGTGCTCTACAGAGAAGTCAGGAATGTAGACTGTTGGGGGTGAGAGCAAAGGCGATGCCATCCTGGAAACTCCGAGCCCAGTGCCAAAGCCCCAGAGCAGCAACTGTATGGACTACAGGATTACATGCTCCATCCCAAGCCCAGAGCCTAGAGAAGAGACCTGAACAGGTAGCCCCAGGGGGTTCCTGCCAGCACCAGCCAGGGTAGGGTAGAAAGGACATCAGGAGCCTGGAGTCCTGGCCGAGCCTGATGTGCCCGGTGTTGCGTCTACAGCCTGAGCTGTAGCTCGTTTCTTAGCAAAGTTGGGCAGTGACAGACAGCTGGGGGAACGTGGGGGTAGGTGAGTTTGTGCCTCCGGCTTGGCAGGCCTAGGGCGCACTTCTCCTGTAGAGGGTCACCAGCTCCTTCCGTTTCTGCACCAGCCCAGGGCCTTCTTGGTTCAGCTCTCCCAAATCCCTCATTTCCTGCAGGACCTGGGTGGCCTGCCTCAGCTGCTCTACAGCCTGGCTGAGCAGCGACTCGGCACACACAGCTGGTGGTTCGCTGCCCAGCACCTGGTTCAACAATTTCTCTGTCTGTTTTGAGGCCACCTTCACTTCCAGCTGGGCCCGATACAACTTTTCCTTGGGCAGCTGTGGACGCTGAGGGCTTTCTCTGAGGAGGTCCCCAAGGGAAGAGGAGCGAGGATGAAACTGGGATGGCAAGTCCCAGCAGGGTGGTGCTGGGGATGCTCTGGCATCCTTTAGGGCAGTTCCAGGGATGCTCATGGCCTGGGACGGCATAACAGACTCAGGACCGGCATCCATACCATTTACAGACACCTGTGTCGGGCCTGGGGCAGGGGTCTCAGGGGCCTCGGAATTCTGGGATAGACTGGAAGCATCTACCCCACTCATACAGACCTTCATCTTCTCCGAAAGAATCTTGGGAGGGGGTGCAGGGGGCTTTTTGCTCTCCCTGGGGGCAGCCTCTGGAGTCTCAGAAGAGGGCACACTCTCAGGAGCAGGAGGCTCCTCTGGGCTGGGGTTCTCCCAGCTCACCTTCAGTTTCTCAGACAGGGTGCTGTTAGGGAGCCTCTTAGAGTCACTGCCCTCTGCTGGGGCCTCCGCATCCTTTTGGCTCTCAGGATTGGCCTCGGAACTTGCTGAGACAGGGGTTGGAGCTCTGTCTCCTGCAGGAGTGTCCATGCTGTCATCAGCGCTGGAAGTTTCTGGTACTGGGGAAGGCTTGACAGGAGGCATGAGAGGCCGAGGTGGCTCCTGAGGCTGGTCTTCACTGTCATCACTGACAGGAGCAAACACTGGCGGTCCACTGTCCGGGACGTCGAGGTCCAGGCGTGAAAGCCCGTCAGAAGCCGCACTGGCTACCTGGTGTTGGGACGGTATCCAGATGTCATCTTGGCTGGCCACTAGGTCAGACATAGGTTTCCCCAACCCCCCCCCCCCCCACCAAACTTCGCCTATGTCTGCTTGCCTGGAGACCTCTGTCCAGTCTTTTAGCCCTTGACTTAGCCTGATTCTTGGACCTTCCTCACAATGTGGGGACCTTCCCAAGGAGCTTCAGGTCAGAGATAGGGTTAAGCAGGAAGCCTCTTCCAAGGTCCCTCAGATGGGGTGGGGTGGGTAGAGTCCTGGCTGAGACCCTCACACTCTTTTACATTCACCGAATGGTCTGGCCAACACCTGGAACCACTACTGAGGCAGATCCCTCCCTAATTCTCACGAGAGTCTCTTCTCCAAGGCTGGACTTCAACCTACCCCACACCTCCCCTTGGATCTCCCTTTCTCAGTGTCTCTCTGTGACTCTCTCTCTCAGCTGACAGATAAGAACAGGCTAATATCAAGAACAAACCTTCCAATGACCCAGTGTCCTTCCTGCCTATGGCCCCCTCTTCAGGGGCCCGAGGCTCTACACACCACGGCAGCCCTAAACTGATTCCTTTTCTCTGAAAATATGCTGCAAGTGTGAGCACTTACCATCTCCTCAGTTTTTCCTTTGCTATTGTTGCTACCAGGTCCCGGGTTGATATCCCTAGTCCTAAGCCCAAGTCACCTCAAGTCCACTTGCTTCTGCTTCCATTTCCTGGCCTTTAAAGTCTCTCCCTGTCGGTTCTACTAGTCTTTTAGAGGCTACTTCTTACCCCTTCCCCTTGCCTTTTCCAAATTGCCTGTATCCAGGCCTGTGACATCTTTTGCTTCCGACTGTGCATTGCCAGTTTCTTTCTCTTCTTTTTCAACCCCTGGTGGAGCCTAGAATCACCCTTCCTTCATTTCAGAACCCCAAACCTTCTTTCAGGCCAAATCCACCCTAATAAGAACCTCAAACTCATCTCTGGAACATTTCTTTAGTCCTTCATTGTAGGCCTCCACAAGTCCTCCCCCTTCACCCCCAGCCTGATCTGCAAGCCAACTGAGCCCACCAGCACACCTAAACTGTTGTGCCTGGTGCCTCAGCTCACGTCAATTCCTCCAACAAGAGTCCCTGTCGCTCTCACTGTCAACTGACGCTGGTGCTGCTGGAATTTAAGCTAGTGTCAGCTTAAAACCCAATTCCTCGATGGGCCACGGTGGTGCACACCTGTAATCCCAGCACTCAGGGAGGCGGAGGCAGGCAGAGCTCTGTGAGTTCAAGGCCAACCTGGTCTACAAAGCCAGTCCAGGATAGCCAGGGCTACACAGAGAAACCCTGTCTTAAAAAACAAACAAACAATCATTTTCTCCTCCATGGTCCCCATGCCCCAATCTTCTGGGGTTGCTCTACCACCAAACTGGTCACAGCTAACTAGGAACAGGTCTATTTTCCTGCCAGAAGCTGATCTCTAAATCAAGGGTACTAGCTTCCCAACCCTGTTTCTCTGCTGTCCAAGGTCCCTGTCCGATGTCCAGACACTTCTATCGTCTTACACACATACCATATAGCAAGCCCCAGCTCCAGGTTAGCCTGAGTGCTGATTGCCCACCTAAGGGCCTGGAATGCCAGGCTCAGCTGAATAGCTCATTATCGAAGCTGAGGGAAGGCGTACCTCCTTTAAGTGGATTCTTGTTGGTGGCCGGCGCCGCTGGCCCCCACGTACCCGGTTCCGTGTCACATGCTCTAGGGCACAGGTCTTGTCTACTTTTACCTGGGAAGGAGTTGGAAGCAGGTGAGTCCCTTGCCAGGCCTTAGGAAGAGTAGGAAATACCCACTGCCCAGACTAAGAGTCAAGGTCCGAGCCCTCACCCCAAGAGTCTCCTGACTGGGGACCTCTGCTTCTCTCTGTGTCTACACTGTCACGGGTGTTCCCGCTGCTGAGTCTTAAGCTTTTCCACTCTCAGCAGCTCTCTTCTTCCGTTCAGCCTTCCTGCCCAAAGATAGGTTCTCAGTCCAAGACAAATCCCTAAGCAGCCCTGAGGTTGTTTGGTGTTCAGCTGGGGCAGGAGGGGAATGCCAGATCATGATCCTCTGGTATCTAGCATGCATTAAGTCTTACCCTGACCTCTGTTACTCTCCCAAGGCCATGCCCAGGCCAGGAAAGGGCAGGGCCTCTATGGCTGGACCTGACTGTGTGGAGGGGAGTATCTGCTCTCTGAGTCAGGAAAGGTGGTCACAGCACATGGGAGATCTGGACTCTGAACAACAGAACTGCATGTTCCTATGGTCCACTGAGGAACAGAGGGAATCTGCCAAAACTGCCAATGACCTATGTGAGGCCATGGCTTCTGTGGCCTCTCCAACATCTACACTGTGGCTCACCATCCATTCCCCCATATTGGAACATTTTTCTCACCTAGCAAAAGGCTGAGCTTGACACGGTGATGTGGGTGAATGAATAGAGGACTCACAGGCTGGGAGCCAGGAGACCTGCTGGGGAAGGGGGTCCTCTCAAGCCTCATCTCCTACCATCCAAGTTGTCTTTAAAATACATTTTGGCCCAAACAACTAAGGACCCATGATGTCAAAGGCTGAGCTTTCCTAGGAGACCCTGGCCCCATGGGACACCCTACCCACTCAGTCCTAGCCTGACTTTTTCTAAGTAACTAATGCCATAGTCACCACTACAGTACAGGAGCCTCAGGAATAGAAGGAATAGTCAGGGAGACCCTGCGTGGCCCAGGCTTCGTAGGCCAACTGAAGAAGGTGCTCAGAGGCTAGTGGTAGCTTGTGTCTTCCATCCCAACACTTGGGAGGCAGAGGCAGGCAGATCTCTGAGTTCAAGGCCAGCCTGGTCTACAGGGCAAGTGCTAGGACTGCCAGGGCTATACAGAGAAACCCATGGACACCAAGCTCACCCTCTGGCCTGGGACTGCCACTGTTTACCCCCTGTGGCTGGCTGGAAGGCTACACAGAGCAGCCAGTTAAATTCCACCCACCACCTGTGTGTGCTGTGTCTCCCCCTTGTGTGGGTGACTGAGCCCAAGCCCTGTGCAGATGCTCCACCACAGCTCTGCTCCCAGACCACGTACTCTTTACTTTAAAACAAATTACTTAAGGGCTGGGAATGTGGCTCAGCTGGCAGAGCGCTGGTCTAGCACGCAGAAGTCCTGCTTCCATCTACAGCCCTCATAAAAGCAGCCCTCGTGGCGTAGGCCTGTAATCCCAGCATTTGAAGGTGGACGCAGGGGAGTCAGAAATTCAAGGTCATCCTTGGCTACATGGAGAGTTCAAGGTCAGAATGTTCAAGCTGACATTCTGTCTCAGCCAAGGCCTGGGGTTATAAAGTGAAATCATGTATTAAAAAAAAAAAAAATTACTTGATTTACTTACACCTTGGTTTTATAGGTAGAAATTGGATATTACCACCCACTTTGAAGGTCTTTTGGGAGATGAAATGAAGTATGTCCCAGTGTTTGTAGCAATGACAGAACTGAGGGGCGGTTTGGAGTGAGGTAGGAACAGTCTGAAAACAAAGAACCATCCAAGGACCACACCCTCATACCTCATCAAAAGCCTTGTTCTTGCCTCTGTTGATCCCTTCATTGAGAGCTTTGATCCAGGATTCCTTTTCTTCCCCACTGGGGGCCTGGAATTTGATGTCACTGACCTATGAGAGACAGGTGGGGAGGATGGCAGATATTTTTAGGGCTCACATTTGGGGTCTTTAGGAAGCATCCCAACCCAGATTCCAAAGTAAACCCTAAATGGCCTACAGCAGTTCTGGCATTGGGCTTTAAGTGGGGAGGGCATGCAACAAGAAAGGAGTCCCCCCTCTAGCCTGAAGCTTCCAGAGGCCTGGAGGGATCAGCCTTGCTCTGTAGAAAGGGCTTGGGACTGGTTCTGCTTCATAAGACTGCTCAGGATAGGATAAGTAAGTAAAACAATGCCTGGTGAAATAAGCACAAAGAGATGGAGACCGACCACGTGGCTATGTGGTGCCTAGAAAAACCAAGATCAGAGCGAGAAGGCAGAGTGGCAACTGCCAGGACTGGAAGGAGAATGGGAGCCTCATTTAATGGAGTTAGTTGCAGTTTCAAGAGTTCTGAAGAAGGATGGTGATGATGAAATGAGACGCATGAAGAGTGAATTTAATGCCTCTGAACCGTTTGCTCAAAATAGTTATGGAAATTCTGGTCAGGAATGATGGTGCGTGTCAGATCTTTGTGAGTTTGAAGCCACTCTGGTCTACATAGAATTCTAGGCCAGCCAGGGGCTGGGGCTGCACAGTGAGACCTTGCTTTTTTTTTCTTGCACTTGTACAGATATATGGGGTGTGTGCTGCATGCTCACATATGTTTTGAAGCACTAATGTGTCTGTATGTTCACGTGGGTGTTGAAATGTGTGTGTGCGTTTGTGTGTGTTAGGAAGGCTGATGTCAGGCCTGAGATCCAGTGCCTCCCTTGTTCACGCTCTGCCTTATGTACTCGCAGCTGGGTCTCTTGTGCAACCCAGAGCTTGCCAATTCAGCTGACTGGCTAGCCGGCTTGCTTTAGGGGTTCCATGTCTCTGCCTCCCACACAGCGGGATTACAGGCATTATACCCATCTGGTTTTTAGGCTTATCAGGGAGCTGAATTCTTTTTTTTTTCCCCCCTGGTTTTTTGAGACAGGGTTTCTCTGTGTAGCCTTAGCTGTCCTGGACTCGCTTTGTAGACCTGGCTGGCCTCGAACTCACAGAGCTCCGCCTGCCTCTGCCTCACCTGGTTTGTGTGGTGCTGGGATTACAGGCATGTGCCATGGCATCCGGCTGGGGATCTGAGTTCTTGTACGTAGCGCAGTATAAACTTTACTACTGAGCCATCTCTTCAGCAACAAAATTGTTGTAAAAAGATTTCTCTAAGGCTGGGGATGGAGCTTAGTTACTGGTAGCTTAGTTACTGCTATGCAAGCACCAAGCCCCCTGCCTTCAATCCCAGCCACTGGGAGGCAGAGGCAGAGGCAGGAGAATTAGAAGTTGAAGGCCAGTTTGTCAATATTAGACTGCCTTAAAAAAAAAAGTACCCAAAGTCCTAAATCTGGAGCTGACTAGAATGAGTATACGTGGTACCCCAGCCTTCACCTGGCCAGTCTTGCTTTTCTGATCTGTAATATGGGATAACATGTTTTACTACAAAAGCAATATTAAACATGATCAAAACTAAGGTACACAGTAGGTGTTCAATGAGTAGTTGGTGGATGAATAAGACAATATAAGAAGGAACTGGCCCTCGGCACATAGTAGATATTTACTTAGTGGGTGAATGAGACAATGGGTGAATGAATTAGCTCTAGGTTACTTCCCTTACCCTGTCTCTGGACCAAGGCCTACTCTCTGACCTCAGGATGCCCTAGCTCTCTCTGGTGTGGCCAGCTTGCCATCCTCCACCTTGGTATTATATAGCGCCTCCTGCCACTCTGCCCGTCAGTTATGTAACCCCACAGTGCAGTGCACTTGGTCTGGCCTCCTCATTATATAACTTCCTCCTGGCAGCACCACCTCCTCCTCATACAGGACCCTAGGTCCCCACTCCATGCCAGCCACAGCCAAATGCTCATTTGCATGACCAGGCTAAATTAGATCCTGGCAGCAGATCTACAGTTAAGTCAGAAGTCCTAGGGCACCTTGGCAACTTCCTCTCAGCCTTCAGGACTTCGGGGGGCTTAGAGAGAGACCACCTGCACACGGAGGCTACAGAGGCCCCCCCAATCCTGTGATGTGCTAAGCAGCTAGGCCAGCCCTGTGACCCCTGCTACCCCTAGGGGTTCTGAGCCTTTGGGGTCCCCTCCCTGGTGCAGGCTGAGAAACACACAGTGGAACTTTGCAACTGCAGGAGTGGAGCAGGGAGGGGGTCAGGTGCTAAGCTCTTTCTCTGGCCTCAGAGGGCTGAGAACAGAACTACTTGGCCTCAGTTTTCCCTTCTCTGCCTGTGTCCCAGTCCTCCACTCACAGGCTGTGGAGAAGGGTGCTGGCTCCCTAGTAGAGATATGGCCTCAGGGAAAACCTCCTGGGCTGGCCAATGGGCTCACCAGGATGTGAGAACACAACTGGTCCTAGCGATCCAGTTCTATCATAAAGTCTGTGTAATCCTTACTCAGTGAGGGAGGCATTCCACAGGGGTGACTGTCATAGGGACAATTAGAATGAGCACCAACAAGCTCCGCCTGGTGGGCTCGGGCTACAGCTCCATGCCACAAGCCCTCTGAAGAAGCTCTATCAACACAGGCTCGCTCTGCCAGGAGAATCCATGCTAATAGGAAAGGCTGCAGAACAGGCAGCCAAGGCCTGGGAAAGGGGGAAGGGCAGAATGGCAGAGAGGAAGGGGGGGAGGGGAAGAGGAGGCCGGAAAGAGGAAAGGGCCAAGCTGGCTGAGACCAGCAGGGCAGCAGGGCCCAGCAGTGGCCACCCTGCTTCCTGGCAGCCGCTGTCTGTGACCTCATGGACAGGGGCGTGGGGATGTAGCCGCAGGGGGGAGTGGGGCACGCAGGACACTGGAGTCTTTGTTTATTTGATTAGAGAGGAAAAAAGGCAGCCTCAGGAGCAGACAGCCAGGGTCACATGACCTCCCGGCCAGCTAGAGGCCACAAGGAAGTTGGGGAACACCCAGGGCGATGGGAAAAGCAGGCACAGATGAGGATGTGAGGACCTCTGGGGAGCCCACTCTAGTGTGCTATGATGAGGGTCAAAGGGCTGTGAGCGGGGGCCTGGTTGCTCTTTCGTCTCCACGGCCATCACACAGGCTCCAGCCATGTTCCCAGTCACCCAGAACCAATCTCAGCTCTTGGAAGGGCTAAGGGGTGGGAGGGAGGCTGTCACCACAGAAGCGGAGAGAGCAGCTGTATAAACAGGTTTCTCTGAAGGGCTGTTGTCCTACTGGACCTGCGCAACCCACCCAGCACACCGCTGGCGGATTCTCACAGCTGCCGAAGTAGGTGACACGGGCAAAGGACAAAGAAGCAGCATCTCCTGTCACCTCACATCCACAAAAGACACACACAATGACCCTGACATGGTCAAGTGAGACCTGCACATGCACAGGCAAACCAAAGTCCTGGCCTTTGTGTGCAACGTGCTCTGAGCCTCTTAAACACAGACTTCGCACCTGCTCCGAGGGGCAGCCCATCTCTAGGATAAGGAAAGGGTTGCAGCCAGGGCCTGAAAGACCAACCATTCTCTTGTCTTCAAAGTACCCTGAGCCATAGATATCAGATGAACCTGGGCCCAGCCTCCTGCCCCTATCTTGGTAATACATACTTGGGTAGCACAGACTATGAGGAAAGTAAAGCACTACAATCACTTCCAGCATCCAGGACCACAGGGGCCACAGAAGACCAAGCTCCTAACTTCTAAATTGGGAGAGAAACAGGATGGCTCCGGTAGGCCCAGACCAGCCCCGTCCCCCTCTCCCAGCTCCCGAGATGAAGCCTTCCTGACAGGCCCTCCATGGTGTAGAAAGGTTTGGGAGGTGTGTGGTCCTATGCACTTTGGCCAGGTTCAATCTGAGCTCCCTTCTGACATCCTTGAAACTGTGCCCCGCAGACTTCCTCAGGGAAAAGAGCTACGAAGGCAGAAGAGCTGCTCAGTGGTGAAGAGCACTGGCTGTTCTTGAGGAGGATCTGGGTTTGATTCTCAGCATCCACACAGGAGCTCACAACCACCTAGAACTCCATTTTCAGGGGAATCTGACAAGCTGGCCTCTGCAAGGTACTAGACATGCCTGTGGCGTGCAAACATACATGACATACATGCAGGCAAACACTCACACACATAAAATAAAAATAAACCTAGAAATAATTTTAAGTGGTACAAACTTCACTTGTACCTAAAGGAAAAAGTCTCAGGCAGGGAAGGAAATCACAACAGGGGAAAAGCTAGGGCTGTGGGTCTCTCAGCTCTGGTCCCAAGAGAGCCTGGAAGGAAGGCTCGAGGGGACGGCAGATTCTCGCCTCTGCTTTGGACTCTGTCTGGGTACTGAAGGCCTGGTCAGGTAGAGCTTATCCACAGCTTTTCTCTATCAGCCTGGGCCTCTTGTGTCCAGAATTCAGGGTCTACCTCCCAGTGCCTGCAGTGGTCATCTCAGGGCTGAGAAAGGGAGAGTTTCCAGCAAAGCCCCAACCACCCAGGGCTGGAGAACTTCTGAGACAAACAGGCAGAAGGTTCAAGCTGGGGCTGCTGCTGGATCTAAGCCTCAGCCAGCCTAATAGGGAACCTGCAGACTGCCCATCGGGGCCCAGCCTGCTTTCTTCCCCAGCAGATCCCGGCTTGGAGGGATGCAGCCTTCAGGATCACCCCTACCTTGTTCCCTGGGGATCGAAGCAGGATAAAGCGGTGTTTCCGCTTGAGGAGAGCACGGAGATCCTGGCATTTCTCATAGCTCCCAAGTTCCACCGTCTCTACACATTTCTGCTCATCCTGGGGGGAGAGAGAAACAAAAGAAGAAGGCTGGTGAGCGCTGGACTCACCAAGAGCCTCCGTCATTGAATATATATCCCAGACTCTGATCCTATTCAGCAAGACTATCTTATCACCAAGATGTGGTATTCAGGCCCCGGCAAGGAAATGGTGCCAGCCGTGCTGGCTGGTAGGGGTCCACCAAGTTCAGCATCCCGGTAAGGAGCAGGATAGTCAGTTTGGGGGTGGGTTTGTGCCTAAGGGTTGGACCCAGTGGGCCTGAGACCAGACGCAGAAATAGGAGAAGCTAGGAAGCAGGAGGAAAGGATGCCAGAGGCTCTTGCAGGAACAGCGGCCAGGCGGAGCTTTGTGGAAGAGGCAGCCTCGAAGGATATAGGACATGGTGAAACACAGCAAGAGCTCTCCAAGAAGAGTGTGAAGCTGACACACGGGCTCACGGCTTTCAGCCATGATCCTGAGTCGGCGCCCTCACTTGACATCTCCCCGTCCTGACTGCTAGCTAGGCAGAGGGGCCCCTTACCCAGGGCTGAAAGCCACATGTAACGCAAGGGCATTCGAACATCCCCCCTCCACCGGCCTGTCACTCTGGCTTCATCACTTTGTAAGGCCAGTGGCCAAACAGTGCCTAGTCTCTACCTGGGGCCAGTTGTGACAGTCTCCTCCCAGATCAAAACATTCCATTCTGCAGGGAACTCCGTAAGCAGGGACGTAAATAAGGGGGAAAAGAAAAGCTTGGGGAACTCTCTGAAACCGACAGGATTCACCAGGCCCCTCTTGCAGAATAAGCATAGCCCAGCTGCAAAGAAGATGCTCAGACCAGAAAAGCTGGCTGGAAGAGGCTTAGACCCCTTGAGGCACCCGGAGAGGACACTCTCCAACCTGTCAGGCACCTTGTTGGCTGTGTGGTGTGCCAGCTTTTGTGAGCTGTCACAGAAGCCTTGGTGATGCAGCTGTCTTTGAGCTGTTTCTGCTCCTGTAAGTAAGCCCTCACCCACATTCCTGTAAGTAAGTAACCACAATAAAACTCATGGTTCGCCAAGCTGGTCTTTGGTGGTCCTTGGTCTGCCTATCTGAGTTGAGCAGATGAGTGTGTTTCGTCTCCCTAGGAAAATTTTTGTCACACAACACCAGACTGCCTTCTAAACTTCCTGCCTGCCAGCCCTGACACTAGAAGGCTTTGGGGCATAGGCTAGCTCTTGGGCAAGCTGCCTGGAATAAGCTATCCCTCAAAGTGGTCAGCTGGTTTCCTCTTCTGGAGGTGACCCAGATGGCACAACTTCCTGGGAAGCAGAAGCAGGTCCTGTGTGTGGAGTGTCTGTGTGTTTATGGTGTGTGTGGGCTGGATGGCTGGAATGTGCTATGTAGACCAGGCTGGCTTCACATTCACAGAGCTCCACCTGCTCTGCCTTGTAAGCAGTGGGACTGAAAGAGTACACCACCACACAGGGTTGACTGATGCCTTCTTTTTATTTTTTGTTTTGGTTTTTGAGACATGATTTCTCTATATATTTGTCCTGGACTTACTATGTAGACCAGGCTGGCCTGGAACTCACAGAGATCCACCTGCCTCTGCCTCCCTGAGTGTAGGGGACAATATGAACTTTAACTATCACTCCTGGTGACCCTGGTGTAAGTAAATCCCTGAAAACAATTGCTTTAGGCCAGACATACTCAATCTCAGGAGCCTCGAGGCTTTTAAGAACACCCAAACCTGCTAAAGACACCACACTCTTTGGCTGTGGGACAGAGAAATTATGGAACTGAGCGCAAGGCTGCCTCCCATTGAGCTAGGTTCCATATGTGGACTGCTGAGAGAAAACGGTCATCCGTGGTCTTTTTCAGCTACAGCTCAATCTGCCAGGCAAGATGTGTTCACTGGTGCGCTAGTGTCCCAACTGTTAGAAGTATAATCAGCTTCTTTCTGACTGGATTTGAGGCCTGCTCTACAGAAGATAATTCGTATCTGATATTATAAACCTGTCATGGTCTGGAGAGATGGCTCAGAGGTTAAGAACAATTGTTGCTCTTGCAGAGAACCTGGGTTCAGTTCCCAGCATCTACACCGTGGCTCATAAACATCTCTAAGTCCAGTCCCAGGAGATCAGTTGACTTCTGAACTCCACAGACACCAGGCATGTACACACACACACACACACACACACACACACACACACACACACACGTAGGCAAACATTCATTCAAAAGTAAATGTTTTTGTTTGTTTGTTTGTTTTTTTGAGACAGGGTCTCATTGTGTAGCCCTAGCTGGCTAGCAATTCAGTATGTAGACCAAGCTGGCCTCAGACTCAAGAGATCCTCCTGCCTCTGCCTCTCTCACATAATGAAACTAAAGGTGTGTGCAACCATACCCAGTATGTTTTGCGTGTGGTGTGTGTGTGTGGGGGGGAGGGTATGTGTGTGCCCCACTGCATTTAACGAGGGTTGCTGAAATGGCGATGAGTAGGGCATCTTAGCAGTGGCTATACCATCCAGGAATACGACTGCTCCTTCCCCAGCCACCACTCACTGTCCTAGCTCCTCATAGGTGGGGCCTCATGATCCCCAGACAGAATGTTGGTGGGCCTAGTCCCGTGGGATAGTCTTCTGCAGGTAAGCACGGCTGCTGTGAGTTTATGGCTGCATATCGTGAGAAGAAGACACGGGCTACAGCGCACCTTCCCATCCTCTGGCCCTGACATTCTTTCCACGCCACTTCTCTGATGTTCTCTGATCCTCAAAGGGATTGACACAGATGACCTGTCTAAGGCTGAGCACTCAACAGTTACTTACTCTTAGCACTTTGATCAGTTTTCACTCTGCATTAACATTTGCCACTGTAAACAAATTCTCTGACCAAGGCAGAGAGCAGCACTAAACTATGGCTGATAAACATATATTTAAAAGGCTGTTTGACAGTGGTGGCTCACACCTTTAATCCCAGCAGCTGGGAGGCAGAGGCAGGCAGATCTCTGTGTGTTTGACGCCAGCCTGGTCTACAAAGTGAGTCCAGGACAGCCAAGGCTACACACAGAGAAACCCTGACTCAAGAAACAAACAAATAAAACAAAAAAAGCAGTTTGATGACGTGTCTGTTTAGCAAAACAATTGTAGTAAGTTCCCAACTAGGTCCCATGACTTTTCCACCTTGGTCTTTGGCCAAGTGTTTTCTTGTTGTTGTTTTAAGATTTATTTTGTCAGGCACTGATGGCACACACCTTCAGTCCCAGCGCTCAGGAGGCAGAGGCGGAGGCAGGCAGACCTCTGTGAGTTCAAGGCTGTATGTCTCCTTTCTGCTCCCCCAGTGGCACTCCATAGGCAGGAGCTCTCAAGAGAGAACTACAGAGGCTGAAGCCACACTCTGGTGCTAGAACATTCGTTTAGAATATACAAAGCCGTTGGCCTGATCCTCAGCCTCACACACACCAGGCAGGGTGGTTGTCTTAAGGGCTAACAACTTCAGTCACTTCTCTCCTTCTACCATATGGGACCTGGGGATTGAATTCAGGTCACTAGGCTTGGCAGCTGTCTCAGTTTATCATGTGATAAACATCATGACCCAGAGCAACTTTTGGGGAGGAAAGGGTTTATTTCATCTTGCAACTTGAAGTCCATCATTCAGGGAAGTCAGGGCAGGAACAAGAAGCTTGGATTTAGGAGCTGATGGAGGCCACGGAGAAACGCTGCTTACAGGCTTGCTCTCCATGGTTTGCTCACCTGCTTTTATATAGCACCCAGGACTACCTGCCCACTAGCTTTGGGATGGCCCAGCCACATCAATAATTAAGCAAGAAAATGAACCACAGGCCTGCCCATAGGCAAGTCTGGTGGTGGCATTTTCTTAACTGAGGTTCCCTCTCCCAAAATGACTTTAGCCTCTGTCAGGCTGACATCATAACAATGAGCCAGCACAGCGGCACACACTATAATCCCAGCACTTGGGAAGGGGAGGCAAGAGAATTAGAAATTCAAGAACATCCTTAGCAGCTAGTTCAAGGCTAGTTGGGGCCACACAAAATCCTGCCTTAAAAAAAAAAAAAAAAAATGACAGAAGGTGGTAGTACACAGGGAGGCAGAGGCAGGTGGATCTCTGTGAGTTTGAGGCCAGCCTGGTCTACAGAGTGAGCTCCAGGACAGACAGGGCTACACAGAGAAACCCTGACTTCAAAAAAAAAAAAAAAAACCAAATAAATAATTAAAAGACATAATAGGACCAGTCTGCTAGAACGGTGCCCAGCCTAGCGTAAGATCGCCCAAGTCCTCCTGGGCACCCAGGGGAAACTCAGTAACAGCAGCACTCCTCTCAGAGGACCACTGCTGGCCTGTTGTATTGTCTTCTTAGGAACAAATTCAGTCCATCTTCACCACCCAGCTCCCCAAGGCTGCCTGGCTTGGGACAACTCAACACCCGAAGTGCTGAATCATCCAGGGCCTTCTGCAGTTCAGAGGAAAGGATAAAGCAGGAGGCACTGGGCGGGGGCAGCATTTTTTGGAACATCTGCCTCTGACAACAGAGCAACAGCCAAGAGCCGTCCACACTCGCCTGGTTCCTTACATCAGAAAGAGGAATTGAACTAATAAGCATTTCTCAATTCCTTCTCCTGGGCCAAGCTCCTATCCCTGGGTGCTAGGTTTCTGGAATTACATTTAAGTTTTTAATATGATTTTTTTAATGCGATTTGGATGTTTCACGTTTAGGGAATGTGAGACTCTTCCTGCTTCCCAGCTGTGGCCAGATTTGGAGAGGCAGTCTAGGATAAGCACGGCAGTGCCTGATGAGCTGACAGCTGAGAACCTTTCCTTCAACTCCTGCAGCAGCTGGCACAGAAAAAAAATATATCTCCCCTTTTTCTTCCTAATAAAAATATCCCTCGACTGTCACTTTCCCAGCTGTGGCACATCCTAATTTGGTAAATACAGAACATCTGGAGGCTGTCTGCGCATAGTCATTCCTCATAGTTCTCCCACAGTGTCTCTGTTGTCCTGACTCCTGGAAACTCACGCAGGCTGGACAAGCTTCTGGGTTTTTGTTTTGTTTTGTTTGTTTTTTGATTTTTGGTTTTTCAACTGTGTAGCTCTGGCTGTCCTGGACTCAATCTGGAGATGAGGCTGGCCTCAAATTCACAGATCCATCTGCCTCTACCTCCTAAAGGCCTGCACACCGTTGCCTGGTGTCTCCTCAAAGGCAACTTCTTGAAACCCTTCGATCAGGTTACTTGGGCTTTCTTGGCCCAGGGCACTTAGGAACTTGCCAGAAGAGGCTGATAAGCAAGATGCACTCAGGAGGCCTAAACAGGTGGGTCTGTGAGGCCGGCTTGATCTACACTGGGAGTTCTAGGACAGCCAGGGCAGAACAGTGAGATCTTGTTTCAAAAATAAATAGATAGATAGATAGATAGATAGATAGATAGATAGATAGATAGATAGATAGATAGATGAATGAATGAATGAATGAATAAATAAATAAATAAACAAATAAATAGATAGATAAATAAGTAAATAAATAAATAAATAGAAAGAGGGGCCTGGATACAAAAGCATTTGCTGGTCTCTCAGAGGACTGAGGTTTGCTTTCCAGCACCCACTGCAAGCACCTGTAATTTCAGATCCAGGGACTCTGACGCCCTCTCCTGGCCTCAGACAGCACTAGACACACAGTGCATATATATATATATACCTGCATGCAAATGTTCATACACATAAAACAAAAAACTTCAAAAAAATATGAAGAATAAGGGTTAACTGGTATTTTCAGTGCCAATGCTAACTGAAACAGTCTCCAGTTTTTTTCAAATACTTCTATGAAGCCTTGGCCCAAAACAGGAAGTACCAGGATACAGGTAGGTAGTTGAGGAGACTCGCACACTCCCTGAAGAGATGGCCACAGAACCCTTAGCCAGAAACCCTGGAAGTATCATCCCCATACCACACATGGAGAGCCGGAGGAGCTAAGACCCTGGCCCAGGGTGGCAAAGCCTGTCAGCAGTGAAGTGGTGCTGGTGGGCAACGTGCCAGCTCGCAACTTTAATTCCAGCACTCAGGAGACAGAGGCAGGTGGAACTCTACGACTCTGTGGCCAGTCAGCCTAGTCTACAGAGCAATTTCCAGGCCAGCCAAGGCTACCATGGTAGAACCCTGTCTCAAACCAAACAAACAAGCAACCAAACAAACCAAAGCAAAAGAGGGACGAGCCTTCCAGCCCCAGGCTGGTGCTCCTGCTGGCCTGTCTGCTGTCAGGGCCGTGCGAGCTCTCACCTCATTCTCGTAGACCAGCAGCTGGGCTTGACAGAGCAGCAGGTATCGGTCTTTCCACAAACCCAGAAGCCCCCCACTGCTCTTCTTGATCCAGCCAGACTTGTCTGCAGCGCGTGCTCCACGAGGCTTCTCACTCCCCTCCTTCACGCTCTGTAAGATAGCACCAGGGCACATCATGAAGGCTGCTGCCATGACGCCATGGGGTCCACAGACGACAGAGGGAATGCACCTAGCACTGGGTACACCATCCCGCATGAGGTTCCCCCAGGAACCCTCAAAGTAGATCAAAGCAACAACAAACGCAGCAATAATAACAACCACCCCCTTACACTGGGCCACTGTATTGAATTTGACATAGTTTCACATCTCTCCAAGATGGCAGCACCATTAGCTACAAGTCACAGCAAGCTGAAACTCAGAAAGGAGGTGACTTACTCAAGCCGCGCAAGTAGAGAGACAGAACCAGAATTCAAAGCAGGTCTCTCAGAGCCCATTTTCTTCCCACCCCTGTGCCTCCCAGTGTTTATTAAACTGGTTCACAAACATATTGAGCCCATATAATGTCACGTCACAGGAGAACAGAGCAACACAACCTACCCTCACAGAGTACACAGCGGAAGACAGGGCAGCTACACACATAAACGCACAGAAATGTGCACGTTAACTGTGCAAAAGGCTATGCAGGGACAGGTATGATGGATACCCCATTGAGTAGAGGCACCTACCGTCCAGCCTTATGACCTGAGTTTAATCCCCGGAACCCACGTGGTGGGAGAAGAGAGCCAGCTCCTACATGCTGTCTCCTGGTTTTTCTCACACACACACACACACACACACACACACACACACACACACACACAC